AATTACTAGAAATACAGGACAAGAATTACTAGATTTCAGGAGAAGAATTACTAGATTTCAAAAGAAAAATTACTGGAAATACAGAAGAAGAATTACTAGATTTCAGGAGAAGAATTACTAGAAATACAGAAGAAGAATTACTAGATTTCAGGAGAAGAATTACTAGAAATACAGAAGAAGAATTACTAGATTTCAAGAGAAGAATTACTAGATTTCAGGAGAAGAATTACTAGATTTCAAGAGAAGAATTACTAGATTTCAGGGGAAGAATTACTAGATTTCAGGAGAAGAATTCACATCATCTGGAGGCTTGTTCGTTATCCCTGTTAAATATTCTTTTATGAATGAACAACAGGTACAAGTTTAAAAATAAAACAATAGTTTGCACTAAATCTGTTTGAAGTTATGACTGGGGTCAGGTGAAGTTGTGTTGGAGAATGACTGTCAGGTCTAAAAGAAACCCAATAAAAGATAGTAGAAAGAAGTACATTTATGACCTTTGACCTTGAATGATAACACTCAAAGGTTAATGAGCTTCTGTATAATCATTGGCCAACACCTGTGGTCTAAAAATGGTAAAAATGTTGCCACGGAGACAAGAAATATCTCCCCACAGCTTGGAAGGGGGAGCTAACAATCGGAGAGATAACAGCTAGTGTCCTCCTATACACTACACACTGTAATATGACCTTGGACCTTTGATCCTTGAACCCAAACACAGGATATAGGTCTTATATAGTTTCCGCAATAAAATCAGCTCTACTTACCTTCATTGGTACAGCGGTCTGGAGAACCAGAGACACTGGACCTTTCTGTCAACCAGTGGACCATCACGATTATAAAGTAACATCCCGACACAAAGGCAAAGTAATGGTAACCTCTGTCCACCAAGGTTACCCACTCAAGGTCACTAACCCTCATGGTCTATCCGGTCATTATATAGTGTTACAACAGACACTGACCGCCAGTGAATGACCATAACATGTTGTATCACATATTGACCATTAATAACTGGTCGCCATAATTGTCATTGACATCGTGACCATCAGTGTAGAACCAAGTGAAATACAGATTTACCAATCCACATTGACCATCAGCAAAGGACCATCACATGAATCATTCCACAATGACCATAAGGTTAAGTAAAGAAAATGTCTGTACTTGACCATCAGGAAGACAGGTCAATTTTTAGCATAACATAACATCAGGAATTATTAATCAAACATGTTTTTTTTTTACTAATGATGACCCTTATAGAAGTTCCATATTTCTTCTGACTTAATTATCTTCAATAATTGTAAAAATCCCAAAAAGTTTTATACGGAATCCACTGTATTATCCAAGACCAACCATGGTGACATTATGTGTGTTGGCCAGATCACATCCAAACCAATGAGGGTCAAACAGCTTAAAAATACTGACCACTCATCAGTATTAAAATATTGACCACTCATAGGTACTTGGACCATATCTGTTGGTGTCTGTAAATATATGACGGAGATTACTCTGCCCGGACAATCAGCCACACAATGGAACGCTTTTATCAAATAGAAACATTGCATAAGTTCTGTGGACTCCATATCCCGAGCCTGACATTTACAGACGGATAAGAGTCTCCGTAAGACATGCTGGCCCCTAATATGTGTACTGGTGTACACCTTCGGTGTTATGGGGTGAATCTACCCTAGGACCCTAAATCAGATTTAGTTTTCAAACCCAACCAGGTGTGGATATGCATAATAGCCTACGGATTTCAATTTTCACCTATGACTTGGGTACACTTTCTCAGGTAGAACCGATGAATTAATTTTTAACCTAGATGTATGGCTATGCTGTTTTTACATACATAACAATGTACGGTTCCACATGCCATGCTGATAAGGTCTTTTGTGGCATTTAAGAAATAAAACATGCTTCTATGGGACCGCCCATTCCTTACAAACGCAGTTATCACAGACAAAGCACAGCCCCTTTTGAACTATTGATTTCCCCCTGCTGTATATACATGAGTATATGGTGTCTCTATAGACAACATTTACTGAACAGATAACACTGTATGATTTATAGCACCCAATAGCTGGTGACAATAACACGGACTTTAAAAACTGGATATCACAGCTGGTATCTCCTCAACTCCTAACACATTATTTCAGTTTTCAAGGATCTAGAGAAAGTTTAACATACAGGACTAGCCATATGGCGTTTGAGATACCTCTTGACATTAAATGTAGGAAACACTTGGAGAATGGCACATGTTTAGATATTAGAACATTTCCTAGCAGCTCTTTGTTACTTCTCTGTCAGGAAACGCAACATGAACATCGAGTTAACTTTACATAACTCCCCCTCCCCACCCCCAGACCCCCCCTCCTCATCGCCATGAGTAATCCATCAATAATTTCACTGTCATCTCTAATGGTCGTATATATGAAACAAAAGAATTTTATTCAAAGGAGATGAAAAGAATAACAATGATTTAATTTCTAAATGAAACGAATGCAGTTTTGAGAAAATGGGAATTCTAGGATTATTACAACCAGACAGGAAGATTGAAGAGCCATGTTTATTTCATTAGATTTCAAACAGATAGTTTTGCCCCTCTACAAACTGGTGTGACTGTAGATAACTGCTGGTAACATCTTCCCACAACAAACAAATCTGCTGCAATGCCATCCCTACAGAGGTTCTGGCCAATTTACCCTGTTAACTGGCTACACTCCCCTAATAGACTACATCCTCAACTCTGTACCTTCAATAGAGTACTGAGGTAGCCGAGGTCAGGATATATACATTACAATATGTAACTTATTGTATGAATTTCCTAAGGGCTTTCAATTATATGAACAACTATTTGTTTATTTAGAATTTTTGAAAGTCCAATCAGTTATTATCTTGCATTTCAGATCACATGAAGAAGATAGATCTACTCATTACACCATTAGAGTAACCTAGAATGTTAGTCTAATAAACATATTTTCAACACTATCACATTATTTGACACAATAAGTGCCCCATCCGTACAAACACCACCCTATCCTTTTTTTCTGGTTTGAGAGTCCAATTCCTTCACCACATATTACCAATGAACTTAAAAGGTCTATACTAGCTGGTTTTGAGAATCAATCATTTTTATTTTCTCAGATTGCTAAGTACAATGTACCAAGAGATTTTATTAGGTTGCATACAGTAAAAGTTTGAGGACAAAGAGTTGTGATTTTGTGGAAATGAGATGCTAGGGATACCTGCTGCACCCTCTGGTATGTAATAGTGTGTAATGGGAGGCGATATCAATGGGGACATCCACCTCACGTCTCCACCGAGCTTGGAAGCTATTAAATAGAACTACGGCCAACTGGTAAGGAAAGTGTGAATACTTGAGCACGTGTTTAACATGCCCCAGCTCCAATCATCATTAGCAAGGCATGAAATTGGCAGCCAGATAGCAGTGTACAGGGCCAGGGAATTAATGTGCAACACATGTTCCCTCCCAGTAGGAACTTCCCATCTCTTTCTCATTTCCTGACTCGGAGGGGAAGCTAGGAACAGTAACTCCTCCTCTACCTCAACAATCAACAACCCCGTCCACAATTGTCCACACACGACAACTCCTCCTCTACCTCAACAATCAACAACCCCGTCCACAATTGTCCACACACGACAACTCCTTCTCTACCTCAACAATCAACAACCCCGTCCACAATTGTCCACACACGACAACTCCTCCTCTACCTCAACAATCCTGTCCACAATTGTCCACACACGACAACTCCTCCTCTACCTCAACAATCAACAACCCCGTCCACAATTGTCCACACACGACGACTCCTTCTCTACCTCAACAATCAACAACCCCGTCCCCAATTGTCCACACACGACAACTCCTCCTCTACCTCAACAATCCTGTCCACAATTATCCACACACGACAACTCCTCCTCTACCTCAACAATCCTGTCCACAATTGCCCACACACGACAACTCCTCCTCTACCTCAACAATCCTCTCCACAATTGTCCACACACGACAACTCCTCCTCTCCCTCAACAATCAACAACCCCGTCCACAATTGTCCACACACGACAACTCCTTCTCTCTCCGTCACCATCACACAATACACACATTTTAACTGAAAACATAGAATCATATAATTTCAACTTTCAAACTATGATTGCTTACAATATAGAGGAAAGAGAGGTAACTCTGATATGCCTGCCAGCTCTGAATGAGAGCCCTGTGAAGATTTTGTGGGTCACCTCAGCACCACTTGCCATATTCGCTGTATCTTTCGCTGTAATCTATATCGTTGTAAGCTTTTTAGCTTTTGGAGATGTCTTTCATTAATTATTTATGACATGCTCCTGGGCATTAGGAGGCCCTGAGTCCCACCTGTGGTCCCTTATACTTACCAGTTTGTTTTTGAGGCGTACTGGACTTGTTCGGGACCTGTGGTTTGTTAATGGTCCGTGAGGAAGACCCTGTTTTTTTGTTAGTGGTGTTATTTGTTGCTTTGGTGGTTGGCGGTGCATCAGTAGGTGAGAGCCGTTTTCCTGAGGAAGAGGGAGCTGGTGATCGCTCCTTGGGGGCTATAGAACCAAGGACATGCTGTTATAAAAATACCATACACCAAACCTACTGTCATGGTGATCTCTCTTTTCTTTTGCAATAAATACAAATCTTCAAGGGTATTATCGTAAATCTTTGTACAAGATTTCTGGGGTATTTTTTTCATTATCAAGAAATATAAAGCATAGTAAGTTTTCTGCACTTAGCAGTGCATCATTCTTTTTTAATGCTTTAAGGCACATGACAATAGGCTTTCCATGCAATACTATAATATATAAGTATATAAATATGAATATAATAAGCTGATTTAGAGGTAAAGTTGGCCTACACCACAGGTTACCCCCACCACTAGGTACATCAGAATACATATCTGACAATGGTTTGTCAGTGGATGTTTCAAACAGTACTTTTATACTTTTTGTATGTAGAATGGTGGTTCTTAACTTGTACTTTCAGATTAACACATTCACCCCTGAAATTTCATAATGAACTATCCCAACCTTTGAATTGGAAGAGTTCAAATGTGTCTTCAGGGGTGAATGACTTGAAGATGCAATGCTATATATAAAATCAGCCACTGCTCAGTGCAACAATCACAAAAAGATTGAAAACGAGACAGTTATGTATAATAAGGTGTTCAGCTGTGGCATAAAGCTGTGTGCAGCCAGCGTGTGGTTTATACTTGTACCCACTAATGATAATATATAGCTTGGGTTTTTAGCTGCGGAGTGTTTTATAATGACTTAAATTGCTACAATGAACTTCATTATTATTTACATGTGATGGTCCTTCTACTATATATACAAATATATATTTTACTGGGACAGTCAGAGATTGTGGAGTTTTAACTTCTACTATATATACAGGTATATTTTTAACTGGGACAGTCAGAGATTGTGGAGTTTTAAAATTGCCCTTTTTTTTGGTTGATTTCCTGGTTCTAAATTCATGCATATTAAAATAAAAGGATAACCAATTAAATTGCTAGGCACTATCATCTATCTGTCTACAGTAAATTCTAATCTCATGCTCCATGTATTACCAAGCCTACTAAACCAGCTTTGATTGGCTGAGCTCTGTACCACTACTTGTCAGGCTAGCAGTTAATTATAAGGTTAGGGAGCTAATAAAAAAGTATCTTATTTATAGAATTGTAAAATTAAAACAGTCTTGATTGACGGAGAGGTTCCAAACACCACCTTCTAAGCTAAAGGTTTGAGAAATAGTTAGTGGTGTTATGTAAATAATTCTAATGCCTTTTTCCCCTCGGCGAGCCGATGCACTATACTTACACTTCATGGGAGGTTGGATGCTGCTTTTGACGGGCATGGATTTACGCCTCGTCGGAACCGACTCTGAAGCCTTCAAGTTCTTAGCATTCATCACCTTAACCGAACCCTAAAATAAACAGGCAGAAATAAAATCAACAGTTACATAATGAGTAGGTTTTGTCTCGTAGTCCAGGAATTGGCTCAAAACTTAAAGGGAGGTAACTCCTATGGCTTTTGTAAGATTTTGTTTGAATCTCTACATCAAGTTTGTAACACCGTAAATTTCATAAAAACACCTTCAACTGGTATTTATAAAGAATATGAAAGGGTTAGTAGGAGACAGAATGGGATAGAGACAGGTAGGGCTGGGAAAGGGTTAGTAGGAGACAGAAGGGGACAGGTAGGGCTGGGAAAGGGTTAGTAGGAGACGGAAGGGGATAGAGACAGGTAGGGCTGGGAAAGGGTTAGTAGGAGACAGAATGGGATAGAGACAGGTAGGGCTGGGAAAGGGTTAGTAGGAGACAGAAGGGGATAGAGACAGGTAGGGCTGGGAAAGGGTTAGTAGGAGACAGAAGGGGATAGAGACAGGTAGGGCTGGGAAAGGGTTAGTAGGAGACAGAAGGGGATAGAGACAGGTAGGGCTGGGAAAGGGTTAGTAGGAGACAGAAGGGGATAGAGACAGGTAGGGCTGGGAAAGGGTTAGTAGGAGACAGAAGGGGATAGAGACAGGTAGGGCTGGGAAAGGGTTAGTAGGAGACAGAAGGGGATAGAGACAGGTAGGGCTGGGAAAGGGTTAGTAGGAGACAGAAGGGGATAGAGACAGGTAGGGCTGGGAAAGGGTTAGTAGGAGACAGAAGGGGATAGAGACAGGTAGGGCTGGGAAAGGGTTAGTAGGAGACAGAAGGGGATAGAGACAGGTAGGGCTGGGAAAGGGTTAGTAGGAGACAGAAGGGGATAGAGACAGGTAGGGCTGGGAAAGGGTTAGTAGGAGACAGAAGGGGATAGAGACAGGTAGGGCTGGGAAAGGGTTAGTAGGAGACAGAAGGGGATAGAGACAGGTAGGGCTGGGAAAGGGTTAGTAGGAGACAGAAGGGGATAGAGACAGGTAGGGCTGGGAAAGGGTTAGTAGGAGACAGAAGGGGATAGAGACAGGTAGGGCTGGGAAAGGGTTAGTAGGAGACAGAAGGGGATAGAGACAGGTAGGGCTGGGAAAGGGTTAGTAGGAGACAGAAGGGGATAGAGACAGGTAGGGCTGGGAAAGGGTTAGTAGGAGACAGAAGGGGATAGAGACAGGTAGGGCTGGGAAAGGGTTAGTAGGAGACAGAAGGGGATAGAGACAGGTAGGGCTGGGAAAGGGTTAGTAGGAGACAGAAGGGGATAGAGACAGGTAGGGCTGGGAAAGGGTTAGTAGGAGACAGAAGGGGACAGGTAGGGCTGGGAAAGGGTTAGTAGGAGACGGAATGAGACAGGTAGGGCTGGGCAAGGGTTAGTAGGAGACAGAATGGGATAGAGACAGGTAGGGCTGGGCAAGGGTTAGTAGGAGACAGAATGGAACAGGTAGGGCTGGAAAAGGGCAAGTAGGAGACGGAAGGGGATAGAGACGGGAAGGGCTGGGAAAGGGTTAGTAGGGGACGGAATGAGACAGGTAGTGCTGGGCAAGGGTTAGTAGGAGACAGAAGGGGATAGAGACAGGTAGGGCTGGGCAAGGGGTAGTAGGAGACAGAATGGGACAGAGACAGGTAGGGCTGGGAAAGGGTTTGTAGGAGACAGAATGGGACAGAGACAGGTAGGGCTGGGGAAGGGGTGGGAGGAGACAGAATGGGATAGAGACGGGTAGGGCTGGGGAAGGGGTAGTAGGAGACAGAAGGGGACAGGTAGGGCTGGGAACGGGTTAGTAGGAGACAGAATGGGACAGAGATAGGTAGGGCTGGGAAAGGGTTAGTTGGAGACAGAATGGGACAGGTAGGACTGGGGAAGGGTTAGTAGGAGACAGAATGGGACAGGTAGGGCTGGGAAAGGGCTAGTAGGAAACAGAATGAGACAGGTAGGGCTGGGAAAGGGTTAGTAGGAGACAGAATGGGATAGAGACAGGTAGGGCTGGGAAAGGGTTAGTAGGAGACAGAAGGGGACAGGTAGGACTGGGAAAGGGTTAGTAGGAGACAGAATGGAACAGGTAGGGCTGGAAAAGGGTAAGTAGGAGACGGAAGGGGATAGAGACGGGTAGGGCTGGGAAAGGGTTAGTAGGAGACAGAATGGGACAGGTAGGGCTGGGAAAGGGCTAGTAGGAAACGGAATGAGACAGGTAGGGCTGGGAAAGGGTTAGTAGGAGACAGAATGGGATAGAGACAGGTAGGGCTGGGAAAGGGTTAGTAGGAGACAGAAGGGGATAGAGACAGGTAGGGCTGGGAAAGGGTTAGTAGGAGACAGAATGGGATAGAGACAGGTAGGGCTGGGAAAGGGTTAGTAGGAGACAGAAGGGGATAGAGACAGGTAGGGCTGGGAAAGGGTTTGTAGGAGACAGAATGGGATAGAGACAGGTAGGGCTGGGAAAGGGTTTGTAGGAGACAGAATGGGATAGAGACAGGTAGGGCTGGGAAAGGGTTTGTAGGAGACAGAATGGGACAGAGACAGGTTGGGCTGGGAAAGGGGAAGAAAAAGAGGTGAACTTTGTGTCAGGATGTTGAACAAGAAAAGAGTTAAAGACTAGCTATAAAGGCCAGGAGATAACAGGGAGCAGGATATTTAGTGGAAACTGGCTTGGGGCTAGATGGGACGACTGGAGGGGAAAAGGTATCGGAAGGACAGACAGGGCTAGATGCGACGACTGGAGGGGAAAAGGTTTCGGGAAGGACAGACAGAGAGATAAAAGGAGGGAGAGTTGTACCAGTGATTTAAGATGGAGAGATGTTGGGGGATATATGACCCAGTGGTACTAGTAGAGAGGAGGTATCTGAAGGAAGAGATTTAGCAGTGGTAGTGGGAGGGACAGGTTTATTTGGATAGAAACTGAACTGGGATAGGCAGTGATAAATCTACATGCAAGTCCAGAGTCCTATATACTCATAGAATTTTTATGGGACTCACAGAATTTCTGGAAATACTTAAATTTAACATTGTGGGACTCATTGTTTTTAGCAATACAGTTGAAAAGGACTTGTAAAAATGAATTGTATATTAATCACTGAGTAGGTATTGGTATAGACAGGGGTACATGTACCTGCAGTACTAAGACGGACAAAGATACCTGTAGTTTTACCTGAGAACTGTCGGACACTGAACTAGACGAACTGTCCCGCCGTTCTCGCCGGATCAAAGCCACCGCAGGATCTACAACAGCAATAGTAAATGTCTTAGAAAATGTATACAAGTCACTGGAAAGCACCGGGCCCTTTCCCTGGTACAGTCATCAAATCTTTACACATGTCTCCGTTACCTATTTCTTGTCTGTCAGTATACATACTGACAGATGAAAAAGAAGTGTTATTCTGACTATATACAATGTCTGGAAATCTGATTGGAGATAGGAGCCCAGATTATTATGGTTTTACCGCAGGTATTTATAGGACTGTTAAACTTGTATAAATTATGAAATGAATATTTTTAATTACTAAATCAAAAGACCAGCTATATCATTAGATATTAAAAGATGTCATCGTGACACCAACCGATCAAATATATTCATTCCCATTTGTGCACCTTAGCAGACTTGGGCAACCAATGTAAAAAGGTCTTCTAGAATACAACATTATGGTACCCATTTGGACAGCTGGGTAGACTGGGACAACCAAGTGATCAGTGAAGGACACAAAATGGCTTTCAATTTATAACAAAGGGACTAATAGGTGTATTAACACAAAAGTACACACAGTGGGAGTCAATACACCTCAATCTGTAGTGTTCAGGCAGCCCTGCCCCAAATCTAACATGTAATACTTCAAGTATGAAGTTAAAATGTACCCAATAAACCTGTCAATAAGCATCATGACATTTTGATTAACATGATTGCAGACACACAACACGGGACACTTGAGTGATCTCGATAAGTATCTCCAATAACGCAGCGGTACAGAAAGAGAAAGCAAGGCCCCATACAAATAATGTTATTTATATCATACACCGCTAGCTTGATGTGTGACATTATGATATAAACGTATGTAAATGGTTAACACAAGTAGGTTAATCAAGTTTTCTTTATATATATATACACAGAGGAAAAGTCAGGGTTTTTTAACCTTTACATACCAATAGTATAAATATTGTAGATAAGAGAAATGTAAGTGTACCTCGGAAACCTGAAGCTACCTTCTCAGTTGGATCGACATTTAAATTAAAGGGATAAAACCTGTTATCTTGCCAGCTTATCTGTAGAGTCACTGATATAACATTTCTTACATACGAGTTATACTTATCAAGGCACTAATTGAATGTACAGCCGTGGGTCTTTGTTACCTCGGTTAAAGGCAGTCACAGTCTCGGCACAGATGACCAGACACAATAAAAATATCAAATATCGCAAAACCAACTTTTCATTTTGAAAAAACAATTTAACAAGAAACTATGTTCAACAGTAGATTTGTGTGATACTGGACATCAATGGCACTTGTCAAGTGAACGCGTGGTGTAGTGTGTTAGCTCTAATTCATGAGCTACTATAATAACATGGTGTTTCTACATCGGTAACGAATACTTTATTTTCACTTCAAATTAATTTAAGAATGTTATAAAGGATACTCTTTCCATTGCATTGGTAATTTTGTAGTGCTGATTACAATGCCAATGTGTAAATATTTGATCTTAATATATTAAATGAGCTTTTAAGACACAAATGGTTTTGTTATAAAAATCTCCAATAAAATAAATCTAGTAACTATAATAGGCGGGCTTCCAATCACAACACAGCTCAGGCGTCACCTGTTAGTGGGGTTTTATTGGCCGACTATCCTCGTTTCGACTCTTAAAGAGATGGCCGAGTCTTCATCAGGTCCCCAGGCATCACCAGTTAGTGGGACCCCGCCTATTATAGTTACATATTCGATACCAATCACCCTGCAACATACCTTCTGGTATCCACTCTTGGAGCAAAATTAGTTGGTAATGTATTATAAAGCATATGACGCAGATGTCTTCCACATCAATACTTCTCATTCAATATTTTCAATTCCTGTTTTTCTAATTATCTGTCATCCCTTTTGAACACACGTTTTCAAACGGATGACTGACTTTTACCAACAACTTAACTATTGTTCCCAGTAATGGCTTTGTACCCTAGATACTTTTATTTCCATTGTCTTAAAATAAATAAAACCAAGGGCGATTACTAGAACCAATGTGTACAGAAAATGTTGTGATCCCCTTCAGCTCTTACGATAATCATACGGTGATTTTCACTATACCCACACAACTGTTACTTAACCTACCACTGTCACCTTTTACCTGTATTTATCTTATTAACACAGGTGTTACAATGCCAAATCCATTATACCACACACAAGAAATCCATACAATGAATTAAGTCACGCGACCATTAACAATCTCAACCTCGTTTTATCTTGACTTACTTAAAACTTAAATGTAGCTTAATACCTTCATTAATCATTTCCCTTTCGATTTTTGAAACCGAATTCATTGTGAACAGTGTAATTGATTTAGGTCAAATAAAAGGCCTATCAAGAGGAAATTGTTTAAATTAGAGTGTAAAAGGCAGGTCATGCAGACACAGTTTAGCTGTGGCTGTGGGTGTTTATAAGTCCTACAGATCAATACTGACACAATCATGTTGGTATATACCCATGCAGTGCCTCCGAGGGAAATAAATAAACCACAGTTTGACCTGATCAATTTTGAATATTGATTAGGATGCTAGCTCTCCGTAGAGACTGCAGACAGAGTTATCTCACATTACGTATATAATCGGAGAGTGCCAGGAAATGATGTGTTTTGTCCCCCACCCCGTAACAACACACCAATACACAACAGGTCTACAGGCAGGAGTCCGACAGGAAATTATAGATTGAATTCATTATGTCATGTAAGCTAAAATAAACACACGAAAATAATCTATAGTGAGCAGAGAAATGCTAAACTGGAAAAATAAATATCACATGTGTTGACTTGAAACGAGTATAGAGCTATCGACTAGGTAGTACCAGTGTAATGGGAAGGAGTATAGAGCTATCGACTAGGTATAGGTACCAGTGTAATGGGAAGGAGTATAGAGCTATAGACTAGGTAGTACCAGTGTAATGGGAAGGAGTATCTAGAGCTATCGACTAGGTAGTACCAGTGTAATGGGAAGGTGTATAGAGCTATAGACTAGGAAGTACCAGTGTAATGGGAAGGAGTATAGAGCTATAGACTAGGTAGTACCAGTGTAATGGGAAGGAGTATAGAGCTATCGACTAGGTGGTACCAGTGTAATGGGAAGGTGTATAGAGCTATCGACTAGGAAGTACCAGTGTAATGGGAAGGAGCATAGAGCTATAGACTAGGAAGTACCAGTGTAATGGGAAGGAGTTTAGAGCTATAGACTAGGTAGTACCAGTGTAATGGGAAAGAGTATCTAGAGCTATCGACTAGGTAGTACCGGTGTAATGGGAAGGAGTATAGAGCTATCGACTAGGTATAGGTACCAGTGTAATGGGAAGGAGTATAGAGCTATCGACTAGGTAGTACCAGTGTAATGGGAAGGAGTAGTGAGCCAGCAACCCTACACCTTCTACCACAAAGCTAAAACAAAATTCCCTACATCCAAAACAAGTTACGCCACCTTGACACAATCTGTATCAGAAATCCTTTACACAGAATGTGTAAAAGATGTGTGGTGCATATAATGTTGAAATACAAGGTCCCACTTTCCCTAGTCTTTTTCCTAAAACTATCACAATCCCGGCTCATTAGAAGCTCCCTGGAAGACGATATTTTTCCCGCTTCAATTTAGGTTTTGCATTAAATGTTAGAGGGCATATGGAATGGAAAAGTTTGATTTGATATAATATTGTAACTATACAAGGAGAAATGCTATGATAATAAATCATTAACCACAGCAACATGACACCGCTATAATACTACAACAGTGTATGTTACAACTGGTATCATTGACAGATATAGGGATAAGGTTGGTGATAAAAACACTTTGATAAGACGTTTAACAGTTATCTTTATCTGTGTATGATTGATCAGCTAGTTACATACAGCTGGGGTCAGTCTAGGCACAGCAGTCGTGTAGAGAAATGTTGATAATTATATAGAGTATAAAGTGTGTAGTTAACGATGAAGCAAAGGGGGGTTAAATGACCAACAAATCCAGGGGGTAAGGAAGGTGCATGTTCATTTAATCAACAAATCTAGGGGGCACGGAAGGTGCATGTTCATTTAATCAACAAATCTAGGGGGCAAGGAGGGTGTTCTTTAAATCAACAAATCTAGGGGCAAGGAAGGTGCATGCTCATTAAATCAACAAATCTAGTGGGCAAGGAAGGTGCATGTTCATTTAATCAACAAATCTAGTGGGCAAGGAAGGTGCATGTTCATTTAATCAACAAATCTAGTGGGCAAGGAAGGTGCATGTTCATTTAGCCAACAAATCTAGGGGGCAAGAAGGTGTTCTTTAAAAATCAACAAATCTAGGGGGCAAGGAGGGTGTTCTTTTAACCAACAAATCTAGGGGGCAAGTAGGGTGTTCTTTTAATCAACAAATTTAGGGGGCAAGGAGGGTGAATGTTCTTTAAATCAACAACTCTAGGGGGCAATTAAGGAGGGTGTTCTTTTCATCAACAAATCAAGAGGTTGAGATTAGGCATCTTTTATCAACAAGGAAAGTTTTTAAACATGAGAGAAATTGAATCTCATTTATAATTAGAAATTATGCAGGTGAAGATGCTAATACAAATTCTGAGTTGAAAACCCTTATTATTATTTTTACTGGTCAAAGGACACTAACAAGACACTAGGAACAGGGTCTGGAGTAGAGAATCACCTGGATGTAAACTTTATAAGATGTTTGGGGTACTGCCTCATAAATCATTTCTGCTGATATTTTCACCGAAAATGGTTGTAAGCTGACAATAATGATCATACTACAAGTAAATATCAAGATAAGAAGTTGGTGATGTCTGTGGAATCAAGTTTCAAAGCTGAGAGATATGTAATAGCTACTTCAACTGGATCTAACATATGAAAATATTTTCAGTTATGAAAATATCAGGTAGAATTGATATAAAATTTCCTCAAAGAAAACAGTAAATTTTTCGGCTAAAACCTACAATCCTAGGATTTTGTTAACATTGGAAAAAAGAGATGAAGGTTCCAGTAGCAGTCTGTGTGCTCAGGTCAGTAGTGTGTCTAACATGTATCAATCAATGGTCAGTTTATGTGGTACATCATTATTATCTCCCCGACATCTTAACTGGACAGATTAAATGACCATCAGAGCAGTAATGTATTTATCAGGTCTGTAGCCTGGGGCAGTTTACCGATCAACTCTAAGTTAGTTTGTCAGGAGAGAAACTCTATCATCACTGTTTGCAATCAGAAATATTTATCAACAAAATCAACCTATCCACCAATAGTGTAGATTTGTAGGCGTCCCTGACTTTGTTAAAGTCATCACCTCAATGTCGCCACCCTAACTGACCAGTGCACAATACATAGACTTGATTGGTCAGATTACAATCATAAGTAGGACTAGGTCAATCAACACCAATCTATGATAACCATGATGGAATTATTGACCTAGAACATTAGATCTGTCTATTAGGGTTCAATAAGAGTAGAAGTCTGTGCCTATTGCATCCCCAATCAATCCTTGTGGCTTCTAGACGCTCCGGTCTGTGATTATTAAACCCCCATCGTATAGCGACTCAATTCTCAGTCTATTGTTCATGAACCTCCATCCAAAAGAACCCCCGAACCCCCATTCTGGTTTGTTAGTGAACCACCTGGATCCCTCTCCCACTCCAGTTCCTTAACATAGAACCTCAATTCTATGTTTATTAAACTACTAATTATAGCAACCTTTAGTCTGAGCCCCCTTTACTCCAATAATCTAATAGCCTAATACATATATGTTTAGATGGCCACACCCTCCTAAGCTTGTATATGGAGGCCCCTCCCATCCTTCAGCCCATATATTGAGGCCCCTCCCATCCTTCAACCCATATATTGAGGTCCCTACCTCCTTCAGCCTGTACATGGAGGCCCCTCCCCCCACCACCTATACACGATGCCCCTCACCCCTTAGTCTGTACATGGAGGCCCCTCCCCCTCAGGCTGTTCAGGGAGGCCCCTCCCCCCGCAGCCTGTACATGGAGGCCCCTCCCCCTCAGTCTGTTCAGGGAGGCCCCTCCCCCCTCAGTCTGTTCAGGCAGGCCCCTCCCCCATCAGTCTGTACATGGAGGCCCCTCCCCCCTCCACCTATACATGATGCCCCTCCCCCCTTAGTCTGTACATGGAGGCCCCTCCCCCCTCAGTCTGTACATGGAGGCCCCTCCCCCCTCAGTCTGTACATGGAGGCCCCTCCTTCCACTACAGTCCCCCCATGACACTTACTTTCGGGTTTACCTCCAGGTCGAGGTGTGGTAGACTCTTCTTCTGTTTTGCTTGTCCGACTAGTCTCTGATTGGCTACTCCGAGCTGAACTAAGTGCAGAATCCAACACACTGCTGCCAAGGGAGTCATTGAGATCCAGGTTAGGCACTATGCTACCAGCAGAGCTGACAGAGGAGGGTCGTCTACTGTTCTCGCCTTTCGAGAGCCGCCCCGGGCGCGGGGACTGAGCTCGCCCGCCTCCTGATGGAGACCGGTCCCGTTTGATGATGGGGGGTGGTGGCCCCAGACAAAGCTTGCTCTTGACTTTACTATAGTCAGGTTTAGGCACTGCTGGCAGCTTTATCTTGACCTTGGCCTCCTTCGTTGCCTCCTCCTTTTTAGGAGGAGGAGGAGTTGGGGCGGGTGTAGAGAGGTAGGTCTCTAACTTACTCTTCACCTCAGACTTAGGTTTGACTTTGCCCTTTTCCTCTTCTATCTGCGACATGATGTTGCCCCACTTACTTTTCGGAGGGCTACGTTTGATGATCTTGGGTATTTCTTTCTCCACCTTTTTGCGTGTATTTCTCTCCTCACTAACACCCTCGCCACTATTTTGTTTGGATTTATCCGCATCCTCCTTAGAATTCTTTTTCTTACTCTCAGTATTTTGTTTAGGTTTGGGAGATTCCCTGACCTCCTCTTTAGCCTTCACTGGTAGCGGAGCCTTTATATAATCCCCGAGGCGCGATTTCACATTCACATTGGGTTTCTTGTACTCTATTTTCTCCACCTCCTTCTTCTTTTTGAACTTAAATTTATTCTTTGTTGTACCTGTATCACTTTTATCCTTAGAAACGTTTTGTTTCTCTTCATTTTTCTCCTCAACTTGTGAGGTCACAGACACTTCACCTTTAACCTCCGTCTCCGTGACAGCAGAATTGGAATCGTCCACAACCTCCACCGTGACCTTCAACATAGTGTCGTTGTCCGGGTCCTGTGGCTGATCAGTAACTGTTTTATCCACAACCTCTTTTCCCGAAATTTCTGTTACCTCGGTAACAGTTTGACTCTCCGTGACCTTGACATCCTGACCTTGGTCAGCTTCTGTTCGGTCATCTTCCATCTGTGAACTTGTCTGTTTGACTGGATGCTGACTTACAGGTACCTGTAAACAGAAAATCACCTCTGTACATACTGTAAACAAAACTATTGATGTAGACTGGCCCCCGTCTCTAGAATAATATATCGATATTTGATTATGTAGAAAAAAAGATATTTTTTTTAATAAATTTGATCACTTGGATGTCTGATTAAGTTATGTACAAGTTAAGAGTTTGTCCCATGTGTATCACTATGGATAGCCCAGTTCTTTCTCACTCTCTAATACTTCTACGGAACATTGTGATACACACCAATATTGCTGCTTCATACCTAACAAGTTTATATCATTTATCTCAATCACAGTCCTTCTGACAGACTAATGATAACAGGCAGGAAGAACAATTCTGGCAACAAATCTGGCCGAGATTTCTACAAGTTGTTAACCTGTGGTGACATCTATAACAAATCCTGCCTCCTCTTCTACATGAGTTTCACGCTCAATGTAACTGGAGAGGACTAGAAAGGCTCATTCTACTGTCCAATCCACATCTCACTTGTACATTTATTGCTCAATAAAACAAGTTGAAATGAAAAATACTTGATTAAAACAAAAATCCCCTACTGCAAGATTTCTAAATTTTCTTCTCAATGATGTCACTCACACAAAAGTTCCCATGTGCAATTTTTGTAACAGACGATCAAGCCTCAGATACCATATGATACACATTCTACTCCTTTTTAAAAAAAAAAAAAATCCATCCAAGCAAGAAGTCAAACACATACCTGTAATGCCTGCATGATAGGACTGAGGACACTAGGGCCACTTCATCAACACTAACAGTTGTGAGAAACACAGTCTTTAGATATCCCCCTATATACCAGAATTAAAGGAAGGAGCCAAGCTTCCATGTTTGTTAGAAACCACTCCAGAGGCTAGTGCCTTTAGGTATACACGGGGACAGGATTGATATACACAGTGGCCAGATTGATATAAAGTGTCAATGTGACAGGCACGCTGTCAGACAGGTAGACAGACTCGGTATGACCAGGTCCCACACCAGACAACATCCCATTTAATGTTTGTGTGTTTTGATGTATTATCTTGGAAAGCGGTACATATTTGTGACCGATGCTGTCCCTCGGACCTGTATTTACTAGAACAGCAACACATACTTTGTAACTGATGCCGTTACTGGGACCGAAATTATCTAGAAAAGTGGTACATATTCTGTGACGGATGCCGTCACTGGGACAGGGCTTCAGAGATCTGTATACATTATTAGAGAATTTAGGGCAATATTTAGTGTCGAGATGTTCCTGATAAAAATATCAATTACCACAAGGAAAGTGCTATCAGATGTATCATTTTCAGTCCTTATTCAGCAATTTATCACACCTACTGGAAGTTGACAACAGTAATAGTCCCCGATACTACGTCAAGCGGAAATCGTCAACAAACAAGCTCCCTACGTAGTCACACATTAAATGGAGTGGAATGTCAGATAACACAGACTATCAACCTGGTCAATTAAATAGTTGGAGTTCATCTGTTCCAACACATTTTGTCAACTTAAAGGTTTGATTACATCCATTATGTTAAATTTAATATGGTTACATGAATTGTTACAAATATCTGTAAAAGATAAGGCAGAGAAGTGTATTTTACTGTTAATCAGTTATTTTTCACCAACACTTTTTGAGATTGTTTTCCAGCAATGTATTTGCAAGCATTAGAATTTGCGACAGGAGCAATGACCATAACCTAGCTGTTCCTTTGTTTGTGTGTGAATAAATGTCAGCAAGATTTTAAATTCATAATCGTTTCTTTTTGGGAATATAAATTCTAAAATATCTTGTGAAATATAAGTGAATCCACAATGTCCTGAAATTTCCACCATGTACCTAGACTTGTGCACTGTATATCCTGTTATTAACTTTGCCAGTCTACAAATGTCGAGTACCAGAACGGCACCACGAGAAACGGAATAATCGCCATGGAATTTAGGTCAACATAGAGTGGTGAGACAGCTCAGGACGGAGAATTATAGGACGAAATTAACAGGACAGGAAAATCTAACGCTGCAGCAAGAAACTGTCAAATAGAACTAGCTAGAGTTAGCGCCTACAGCCAGCTGAAACACTGACCAGAGTGCCTAGACACTGCTTTTTATACTGACCATTTCCTGAGGAGTAACAACGTCTTGACTGCTGACTTGACCATCGGTCACTGGCAACACATCCTTGGACTCCATCCCCTCGACGTCCATCAACAGGGAACTCATGTTTTCTCTACAACCAAACGACACAATCTTCAGAAGTTTGTGGTAAAGCTCTTTTTGTACTGCTAATACTATCAAACTACTACAAATCACTACTGTAAACTTATATTTGAGATAAAGGTGCTCTTGTACTCTGTCAGAACAATTAATTATATATATAATGGCAAGGTGTCATGCTCCCTCAAATAGCTGTATAAAGATATTTCTCTCTCTGTGTTATAATTACAGATAAAAACAAAATCAGTGACTGTTCTGATGTAAATTCCAAGATCGACCAAAATACAGTCAAGGTACGAATGGCCAGTTAACGTGTTTTGTCCTAAAGCATTAATGGTAGATCCAGGATGTAAGTTTTGTGAAGCACAGAACACAGGATGTTGTAAAATCCAGGTAAATGATATATAACATCAATATAAATACTTACAGTCAATTACTCGTAATACTGTGTAGTATCCACGGTGTTTATTTATCACAGCTACTATACAGACCACGAGGTTGTGTCAGATACGCTGTGCTTTTTACGCCGCGTCTACTAAACAACTAAGTAAACACGGATACAACCCACTCTGAATGAATCGTATCAGTCAATGTTTTTTTTCACTTTTAAACTTTTACGAACACCTTACCGACCGTGATCTCGCCCCAGTGATCGCCAGTGACCCATGGGACATTGTATAACGGTACAATAGAAGCTGTACAAATACTAAAGTTCAGTATTTAAACTACAACAAACACATTTCCTTTCTAATCGCCATGCTGTATTGTGCTTCTAGGGAGTCAAGTAACCCCTGATCGTGTAAATCACTGTGGCGTCCAATCATCACACAACAGATAAAAACACAGGTAAAAATGCAACAGGTACGCCTGATCAATCTGTAACACTAAGGTGCATCAAGTCCTGATCAGAGTGTTATCAGAGCTGATCTGTAGATTGACCTGCTGGGCACGATAACTATAGCGCCCTCCTCTAATCCACACGTTCACTCACAACTCAACTTTTAATCTTCACAAATCTCTGCTAGTACTTTTAAATTGTTCATTGTTAAATTCCTCCGTGGTTACTTCAAAATCCAATTTGCATTGAAGATGGTGTTTAAGATTGACTGTAAAAGGCCCAAGTGTACACACATTTTATATATAACACACACTTGTACACTAACAGATGGGTTTGTGCTTAATTATTTTAACAGGCAGATTTTATGTGAAAACCCGACAATAAATAAGGACTCCCAGCAAGTACGTGCTCCGGGTAAGTTCTGACACAGAAATAAAAACTATCAAGTAGAGATGAATGCTTTTCGTTTTCCAATGAAATTTTACTTCAAAGGACTATATGTTCCTAGCAATATCACATACTTATATGTACCATAACACCAAAATCAATTTATTTTAAAATCCAATATACACTTAAAGATATATTTAGCTATGAATACTTCACACGAAATGAAAGTACTTGTACGCAGGAGTTGTATTGTTTACCAACAAATCAAACGTACTTATATCTGTATAAAACTGTTGAGCACTGCTATAAATCGGTGTAAGATTATATATAATTACTGTAGGGTCACACAGGTGATTGATTTACAGGTTAATTATTACCGTCGTTATAGACGGTTACCATTAATTATACGCATCACCATTTAGTATTTCTAATCACGACAGGCGACACATTTACATCTCGTTAACATATTAAATGTGACAGGTGCGAAACTGTTAATGGACACTTCTCAAAGCATATAAATATTTATACAGCCTGGAATGTCTTCAAAATGTGTGAAGAGGGACTGGTCTCAAAAGCATAAGACAACTGTAAAATATTGATTTCAGACTGAGCTGAAGCTAACATTATAAGATCAATCTTGACAGTACACCCTAATCTAACGGACCCTCTAGCCTAGACATTCACCCTCTTACTCTTGCCTATAACCATAGTCTAACCTTGTTCATCCTCCACCTCGACCTAGCTATGACCCTGATACTCTAACTCTAACCTATGACCTTGATATTCTAATCCTGACCTATGACCCTGATATTCTATTCCTGACCTATGACCCTGACACTCAGGGACGATAGTCCCCTTATCACTGTACAGGTCCGAGTCACTGTCCATTCTCTGAGACATTGTACCTACCCAGGTAAAACCCTAATCTCTAACGTCTCCCTAACCTGATACATACAAGTCGAGTAGTCTGCTACTGTTGAGCGTGTCATCCTCAGGTATGATAGTCCCCGTATCACTGTACAGGTCCGAGTCACTGTCGATTCTCTGAGACATTGTACCTACCCAGGTAAAACCCTAATCTCTAACGTCTCCCTAACCTGATACATACAAGTCTAGTAGTCTGCTGCTACTGTTGAGCGTGTCATCCTTGGGTATGGTAGTCCCCGTATCACTGTACAGGTCTGAGTCACTGTCGATTCCCTGAGACATTGTACCTACCCAGGTAAAACCCTAATCTCTAACGTTACCCTAACCTGATACATACAAGTCGAGTAGTCTGCTGCTACTGTTGATCGTGTCATCCTCGGGTATGATAGTCCCCGTATCACTGTACAGGTCCGAGTCACTGTCGATTACCTGAGACATTGTACCTACCCGGGTAAAACCCTAATCTCTAAGGTTACCCTAACCTGATACATACAAGTCGAGTAGTCTGCTGCTGCTGTTGAGCGTGTCATCCTCGGGTATGATAGTCCCCGTATCACTGTACAGGTCCGAGTCACTGTCCATTACCTGAGACCGCACAGTTCCGTGTGTCACCCCTGAAAAACAAAACATCAGAGTCATTACTATCGTTAAGATACTGTCAGTAATCAGAACAAGACAATAAGCATCAACAAAGATGTTTTTTAAACTCTTTAACACTCAAACATTTTATAAAAGTCCGACCCTGTAACTGTACCTTAGCAAATGACATTATAAAATCCTGGTCTTGAATATATTTAGTTAAGATGAGAATGTGGACAGCTTTTTAAATCCTACAAAGCAGTTCTATCACTGATTCTTACTGACCAGCAAAACAGCTCCAATAATAGGTCCATTTCAACTGATGACATCTTCATCTCATGGTTTTTATCGACAAACACAGACTGACAAATCATCAGACAGATGGAAACAGGGCAGGGAACAATAACTACATCAGAATGTAGACGAGAAAAAATACACCATTTCTGTCAAAATGAAAAAATATGATGGGAGCCCCGCTCTCTCGCATTAGTGACAAATCTGATTGGTGGCTTTCTCACACTCCAGCGCAGAGGCCATATTTTTTATTGCAAGATAAAACAAATGAGACAGGCGTCAAGAGTTTTGCGACAACAGCGCCACAAATCAACAGCTTAATGTTTTAAAAGGTCTGAGTCACACCTTTGAATCAATTTGAAAGGAACCAGCCAGTGTTACGGTGCATTAAGTATCACTGTGATATGATAACTAGAGATTTGTGGTGGTTTAAGTATCACTGTGATATGATGACTTGAGATTTGTGGTGGTTTAAGTATCACTCTGATATGATGACTAGAGATTTGTGGTGGTTTAATTATCACTGTGATATGATGACTAGAGATTTGTGGGGGTTTAAGTATCACTGTGATATGATGACTAGAGATGTGTGGTGGTTTAAGTATCACTGTGATATGATGACTTGAGCTTTGTGGTGGTTTAAGTATCACTGTGATATGATTGATGACTAGAGATTTGTGGTGGTTTAAGTATCCCTGTGATATGATGACTAGAGATTTGTGGTGGTTTAAGAATCACTGTGATATGATGACTAGAGATTTGTGGTTGTTTAAGTTTCACTGTGATATGATGACTAGATATTTGTGTTGGTTTAAGTATCACTGTGATATGATGACTAGAAATTTGTGGTGGTTTAAGTATCACTGTGATATGATTGATGACTAGAGATTTGTGGTGGTTTAAGTATCACGGTGATATGATGACTTGAGATTTGTGGTGGTTTAAGTATCACTCTGATATGATGACTAGAGATTTGTGGTGGTTTAAGTATTACTGTGATATGATGACTAGAGATTTGTGGTGGTTTAAGTATTACTGTGATATGATGACTAGAGATTTGTGGTGGTTTAAGTATCACGGTGATATGATGACTTGAGATTTGTGGTGGTTTAAGTATCACTCTGATATGATGACTAGAGATTTGTGGTGGTTTAAGTATTACTGTGATATGATGACTAGAGATTTGTGGTGGTTTAATTATCACTGTGATATGATGACTAGAGATTTGTGGTGGTTAGAGTATCACTGTGATATGATGACTAGAGATTTGTGTTGGTTTAAGTATCACTGTGATATGATTGATGACTAGAGATTTGCAAGTGATTATCTGTAGAGAGATTACGGTGGCAGTGTACCAAACACATCATTTAGGTAAGTAAACTTGTACTGTTTTCTAGTCATTTTTATATTGGGACTGTCTTGTTTTCCGCCATCAAGTTACTTTGAGTAATTATAATTGAGCAGTGCATGAAGTTGAATGAGTGTTTATCAACACATTGTGACACAACTTGTAAATCTCTTTTCTCTTTATTTTTTATTTATTTTTATTTCTGTTGCCAAAGCAAGAATCACTGATTGCATATATATGGGTATATTAATCTATCCAGTTTCTTGTGATGTTGTATACAGTTATCTCCCCTGCTCTCACGCCTGATCTCACTTGTTGCTCTCCGGAATGTTTATACCCTGCCACGATTAAATGAACATTTGATATCAATTAAATGTAAAACCGTACAAAAGACAGAATCTTAATGCACATCTCTGTAAGTCAGCACCTGTGTACACTACCATACCCACACCAAACAACTTCCTCATTTGAATAAAACTACATTTAAATTCACATTTGCAACACCCGATTAAATTATCGAGATCCGATCCAAGATGTTAAATTTCGTAATAACATAATATTACTCTAGCCTTGATGGAATTATCCAAGCGTTACCGTGGCAATGCACATTGCTGTAACGAAGGCTGGTGATCAACATTAGAGTATTTACTAGGATCTGACGGATCAGAAATTAGCCAGTATAATGTTTACATCATCCTCTTTCACTAAAGTTTCAGTTTTAGTAGTAGAAGAGTCTGCGGGATGTAAGATCAAAGGCCTGACTTTATACCCTACAGACTATCTTCCGTTATCTTACCGTTATCTCTTCACCAGGCTTACATTCAGCGCCTAATTATGTAAATTTACATTTTCCCCTGGAGAATCACACAAGTCTCACTAGTAAACAGTTTGTTTTGCTGAAGGGCAATAAATGAAAATATTACCATATCAACAATCTTCTCTATAAATACTATGTGTTTTCTGTGAGCCAGCATAACTGATAACCTTCTTACTGTGAAATATATGTCTACTAAATCACTAGCTAGGATCAGGGCTTTTCTTCCAAGAGAAAAGCCAGGGGTGTTATAGTCTAATAGGGAAAGAATGACAAAGAGCTCTCTTGGCTTATTTTTGTGATGGATTATATAAGGGCCCTATCAAGAAATGAGGACTGGTCAAGCGTTCATCATTTCCATTTGCAGAGTTTACCTTGTGTGTGTTAAACAGGCTCATAACCAAGCCCTACCACAGCTAACATAAACTACATATATATACACTTGTACAGGCAAATGTTGTGTTTAATTCTTAATTGTGTTATATCGATTAAAAACAAAACACGATCTTATTGATTTGTCAGGAATTTCACAAAGAATGAGAAAACATCATGTAAAATGTCATAGATATATTTCATTTACACAAGGAAATATTAAACAATTTGTTGACATCATCAGTAAGGCAAGTTTCCTAACACATTAGACTCCAGGAGGCTGGTTTTGAAGCAGCACTGCGGGTATCTAGTATTCTGCCATACAGACAAGCTCCAATTCTATTGGTAGATGCTGGCTTCTCTGTGAGTCAGTCAAAATCAATATTTCATTTTTATAGAGCAACCATTTTTTCTGTACTCAATGAACCATTGATTTATATATCAGAACATCAGTATGTCTTTTTGTAATGTACAAGATAAGCTTTCAACTTTGAAGACCTGTCCAGCAGAAAGTACAGAGCAGAGGCTGAAAATGTCACCTACATCTTACTGCTAGCCTTGTGTCAGCCTCCGTACCAATCAATACGAAGCAGTCACACTGAGTCATACTGCTGCTGTTCTACTCCTGGGACTGATAAACAAGGAAATGTCACAACCCAACGAACAGACAACATTCTATGACTCCTGGGACTGATAAACAGGGAAATGTCACAACCCAACAAACAGACAACATTCTGGGACTCCTGGGACTGATAAACAAGGAAATGTCACAACCCAACGAACAGACAACGTTCTGTGACTCTTGGGGCTGATAGCGTCACAAACCAACAAACAGACAACATTCTCCGACATTCGGACAGTTGTTGCAGACACCACATCGAGGCAACATTACAAAATAGGACAATAATTGATCGCCTTGAACTTTCAATGTCAAAGGGCAAGGTCAAAAGGTAAGTGAAATGAACTCAAGTCAGAAGAAAAACACATGATCATGAAAGTCAAGTCAAGCCAATCAGATGTCCCTATGAAAACTCTCTGATTTGATAAATACATGAAAACATACCTTCTGCATTATGTACGCCACAAAAACTGGAGTAGGAGATGAAACAAGCAGTTAATGGAAGTCTTACTGGTGATGTAAATTACCGTGACAACATTAGCTCGGTGTTCCAGCTTCAGATAGGTAATACCTACACACTAGCAAAGGTAATACCTACACACTAGCAAAGGTAATACCTACACACTAGCAAAGGTAATACCTACACACTAGCAAAGGTAATACCTACACACTAGCAAAGGTAATACCTACACACTAGCAAAGGTAATACCTACACACTAGCAAAGGTAATACCTACACACTAGCAAAGGTAATACCTACACACTAGCAAAGGTAATACCTACACACTAGCAAAGGTAATACCTACACACTAGCAAAGGTAATACCTACACACTAGCAAAGAAACACAAACGACTGCACAACAACAGGAGCAGATATACCTGGCTGACTATTGAGGACAAAATATTTTCTAACTTTAACCTTCAAAGAATTGCATGACCTTCACGGAGACAGTTTGAATACAAGAGATAAAACGATCATATTCGGCATCCTAGATAAAGGGCAACTATGCACATAAAACCTTGTCATTGATCTTGAATGAGGAGCATTACCTCATCTTTGTCATTTGATGACCAGTATTGGAGTCTCTACTCCCACATATGTCTGTCTGTATACCAACAACAACACCAGTCACTGTCAGTCATATCTGTAAGCTCTTTGGCCCAAATAGTTCAGCCATACAAAATAACAGATATACAAACCAAAATTTAACTTTTATGATCCTGTCTATTTGGACCTGTAAGACAACGTGTGGACATGTAAGGTGTGGGACCCCAGATAAAACAAGATGTAACCTGCTGGTAAATGTTATCATTGGACCACCACCTACCTGCTTGGTAATGTTTGAAGGTGTTGGCGTACGCCTTGTCCAGTTCTGACGTACTGGATTGGGCGTGACTATGCTGTTCCTCCCAGTGAACGGGTGACCCGGTCGCCCCACCCTCCATTTCTATGTCAGTGTCTGTGTCCGGCACATAACCTGCAAAAACATGCAACATGATCGTCAAACAAATCTTAATTAACCTGGTTTCTATTTGTTCACATGCTTACAGATCTGAAACAAAGTGGAAATTCCTATCCAAACTCCATAAATTATAGGTTCTATCTGAAAAAAGTTGAAATTTCTTATCTTTCTTTGAAAATATGGAAGCAAATTTTCTGGATTAATGCAATATGTTTACTAGTCTAATTTGTGAAGCTGATAGTCTATCAAAGCCTGAAACACAGCATTACCCTGACTTTTAATAAGCATTAACCATGTACGACACCTCTAACCACAGATACTCCGGCCCACAGATCCCATCTACCATGGGTACGCTCATTATCAGGTACGCCTGTAGAGGGTATACCACCCTATCATGAAGGGTGCGTTACCTCTGAACCAGACAGAACATCCTCCCCACAGAGGATGGTACAATACATGGAAGCTAGACAAACTTCTCCTCTCAGCAGGACGGTCAGATGGTAAATCTCGTTAGTACAGGTACGCTGACAGGTGTAACGACCTCAATCCACAACAACACTGACAACAATTGGTAACATTACCCACCAACATTTATACATTCTACCTCTCGGCCAAATTATCTCATCCTTGACAAAGTTTAGGTACGACTGGATATAACATCACAGTTCCAGATTCACCTCACCTGAATTCACCTCCACTATTTCACCTGACGAATGGCCACTGATATCAACAAGTGTGTGTCTGTATACATCAGCCCATGTGCGACACTGTCTTATGAATGAACACATGCATTCACTTGAATTACATAACAATACATAACTGTTACTATAAGAATTTTACAAGGCACTATATAAATAACTTGCCACCTGTCCCAAAATATTTGCACTGATGAGCACGGATCCGACACAAACTTTATCTACCTGAGATATCGTTACCTGTACATTATCTTATTACGACCGTGAAGTGACGAAAACTTTACATCTCAGAAAAGTCAACCAAACAATCTAAAGTATACCTTTAAGTAATCAATTTACAAATGTCATGCAGACCTACCTGATACAAAGTGCACAAAAGATGTTGTTTATTCTTAATGCGAAATTTCATGCTTGGAGGGTTTTGAAAGATTGCAGGCACATTTTGCATTAATTAAACGTATAAATGCCTGAACTTGAGCTTCAGGTGAAGGGCACAGGTGAGGGAGCTACACATGGCGTGAGGAGTTGTTGCCAGGTTTTTATAGTAGTATATAATACTGTAGAAATTTCTACAAGGCTACATTTTCTAAAAGTCTTGATATCACAGCTGTAAAATAGCCTTAGAGACTTAATATACCAACAACTGTGAATAACATCTATTGTTATATATACAATTATATCAAATAATGATAATGGGAAATTTATTCTGTAACTTATATGTAAAACAGAATGAAGAATTACCGGCTAAGAGTTTCATTACAGGGGAATAATTAACTCCCCCACCAAAAATAGCTGAGAAATGTCGAGGGTAAAGTTCAGAGAGCTGTTGTTTTGTATGTCTGAAGAGCTTCACAAAATTCTGATGAAAATTCAAAAGAGTTGCCTGGACAAGATAAGAGATGTTTGTTAGAGTTGTGATTCTGACGTTTCTTGGTATGAAAGTACGAATAGGCGAGCAATATAGCTACAATTAGTAGTTTAACAATTATAACTTATTGTAGCTATCGCTCACCTATTCATGCAAGCTACCATAAGTAAGCTATGCTTATCCACCACACTTCCTTAAAAAATATTGTGTTGAGTTACACAGAAATGATTTAGTATTCTAAACCCATCAAATAGTGAAGACCATACAACAACAAAATGTTATATGTTATTTATCACGTCTATAGGTCATCCTAGTACATAATGTAACTCTGTTGTAAAATTACACACAGTAAAAGTCAGCGGGGGGCTGGCTGATCAGGACAGATAGGTAGCGTCATTGGTTAAGACTTTTCACTAAATTTAGGGAGTGATGTTTTTTGGCACTGGAACACTAAATATAATATATATATATATCTGCCGGTGACATTGAACAGGGATCATTGTGAGCCTGAACATATCCTACACACAAACATGGCTAGGACATTATAAACATTTCATCAATCCTAAACGTAGAGAAATCCAAAAACTCTAAATTAGATCACAACAAAGAGTTCTGGTTTGTTCAGCATATTTCTCACTTAAAGTGAATGTTTATTGCTTGTTGCATGTCCATTAATATTTTACTACAGCAAATACAAATAACAAAATATATATATATAAACATTCCCACCATGACAAATTGATCGTCTGATCATCATGCAGTGATCTTAATTCTTATTCAATCTGTCACCAGTAACAATATCTGTAACATTACTATTTTTCTGCTATATACATTACTCAGAATAATTTCAAAATGTTTTTCCTAAAATTGTCTGCATTCTACAATAGTCTTGTGTCAATATAGAGTAAATAACATGAATTTGACAAGAAAATAACTTTTCAATACATGTATACAGTAGGAAGTGATGGGACTCTCTACCTTAAATGAAACAGCAACTCAAACCCAGTCTATGACTACCATCCCCACCCCCACCCCCAGACCAGTCTTATCTTTACATCACCAAGACTTGGCTATCAGATGATGATATCGTGCTGGTTCAGGGAAATGAAAGGTTTGGATGAGATCCAAACAGGTTTTAATTATTCATTTGTACATGGGGTTATCATCAGAAACAAGAAAGTGTTATCCTGGACATCCAGGTGGGTGATCAATGAGCTAGCTTGGTCTTCACAAACACGTCCAGTGATTCTTACAGTTGTTGATCGATACAGATCAGAGTGGTCTCCCATTTACATCACCCACAAACCTGTCAAATTGGTCGATACAGATCAAAGTGGTCTCCCATTTACATCACCCACAAACCTGTCAAATTAGTTAATACATATCAGAGTGGTCTCCCATTTACAATACCCACAAACCTGTCAAATTGGTCAATACATATCAGAGTGGTCTCCCATTTACATCACCCACAAACCTGTAAAATTGGTAAATACAGAACAGAGTGGTCTCCCATTTACATCACCCACAAACTTGTCAAATTGGTAAATACAGATCAGAGTGGTCTCCCATTAACATCAACCACGAACCTGTCAAATTGGTCAATACATATCAGAGTGGTCTCCCATTTACATCACCCACAAACCTGTAAAATTGGTAAATACAGAACAGAGTGGTCTCCCATTAACATCACACACAAACCTGTCAAATTGGTAAATACAGGTCAGAGTGGTCTCCCATTAACATCAACCAAACCTGTCAAATTGGTCAATACAGATCAGAGTGGTCTCCCATTTAAATCACCCACAAACCTGTCAAATTGGTAAATACAGATCAGAGTGGTATCCCATTAACATCAACCCCGAACCTGTCAAATTGGTAAATACAGATCAGAGTGATCTCCCATTAACATCACCCACGAAAGTGTCAAATTGTGGTACCAATACAGCCACAACAGCCATATTGTAATCCAGGAGTAAAGTATTGCAAACATTATTATTTCTATATGAATACCGTATAAATGGACATTTTTGCAGTGTGTGGAAATGAATGCGGTTTTTTTGGTTAGAGTATAATCCCCTCATTAATATGTTTTTATAGATTATACAGATTATAGATATATAGCTTTTAAAACTGTTGTCAAAAAAAATCTTCCTACATCACGATCAGTTTAAAGAATCACGTGAACACAATTTCCACATGTGAGAATTTCCACGTGTACAGTAATTGAATGCAAGCAAACTTATTAAATATAAGTACCAAACAAACGTGAACTGTGACCAATAGAAAGTCAACCTACCTGTGTCGGCACTGGTCGTAGATATAAGAGAGAGTGGCCTCCCCTGTTTGAAATGCCCAGCCTCCAGGTCGGCCCTGAGCAGGGAGTCATTCTGACGTGTGTGTCCGTCCAGTAAATCATGTCCACTACACACTAAATCACCTGTACTCCCAATGCTGGAACCATTAGTGTTGGCATCTTCCAACACACTTTCCAAATTCTGAGATCGACGGAATTCACTCGAGTCGGCCATGTTTTGCGACCTTCTCATTTCACAGGAATCCGTCAATCCGATTCCAGAATCAGTCATAGGCCGTTTCGGTCTCTGATAAAGTAGCTGTTCAGCCTCCACTGGTCCACTACTCTTAATTAGCTCCTGACCAGTAATCCCAACTTTCGGTATCAATATTTCTTGCCCATCTTTGTCTACGGTTGAAAATGTACAATTTTTCACATTCTGAATTTCAATGTTGACTTGCCTGACATTTTCCTGTTGTTCCTCAATGTTTTCACTGCAGTTTGATTGTCCATCCTCGTCTTCTCCATCCGATGCCTCCTGTCGCCAGTCAAGCGTGTCATCAGTTGTTACAGGTGGGTGAACCTTATGTTCTAGCTCAAATGTTGAAGCGAGACTCCTTTTTGATCCAGAATTTCTTGATCCGTGTGTGAGGGACTCTTGCTCAGCCTCTGTCCTCTGTCTGGACAGTGATTTGTTTTCTGGTGTGGAGGTCACAGCATGGTCAAGAGAAAACGTATCACTAAGGGAGGCAACTCTATCTGTTCTCTTTGACACGGAAAAAGTATGCTTGAGTTTTTCGCTGTCAGTTAAGTTTCCATCAATACCAGAACCCTGAAGTAAGTCAGTGCTGAAATGGGAACTGTTAATGTCCACCAGGCCGAGACTAGAACTACTGCTAGCCAAAGTATCACCTGGCTGTGTCACATCCTGGGGCAATGCTGGCTGCAACCCAGCAGTGTCCTTAGCAAGGTGTTGAGGGGAACTGTTATTGCTTCCTGTGTCAAAGGTCAGATTGAAGTACTGCCGTCTGTCACTACAGAGGCACTCCTTGGCATCAGTGCTCAGCGAGTCATCAGCACTGGAGGAGCTCTCGGTTAGAGGGCGTTGATGGTCTACCACATCTGGCAGGTTATCACTCAGAGTGAATGTCTTATTGAAGTCCTTAATCTCTAAACTCTTGGGGATAGTTATGTCCTCCTTACGTATCAGCTCAATGTCTGCTGCCACATCTGTATACTTATATCCCGCTGTCCTCGACTGTGGAAGCTTCGAATATGCCGGCAGACGCGATCGTTTGGGTGAGGACTTGGCAATTGTGAAGTCCTCTTTCGTGTAGGTATCACTGAGACACTTAGTAGCATCTATATCCGTGCCCTGGGTACCACCACCTAACTTGGGTGAACCACTGGCTCGGAGCTGTTCTTCTAAATATCGGAGCTCCGCCTCATCTACACTGTCAATAATGTCCTCGTTTTGCTCTTCAATGCATGTGGGAATGGCAATCCTCTCCCGTGAGCCAGTGCGAACGTAAGGCTTGGACTGGGGGAGAAGCCTGCGCGAGAGTCGCTGCTGACTGGCTAAAGCCTGCTGGTAATGACTCTCAATCGACTCGTCAGGCTGATGATCTGGTACTTTGCTGACCTTTTCGAGGGGAGCAAATATACCGTGTCCTGGTCGACAACGAAAATACCTCACACCCTGCACCTGTCCATCATGTTTTCCATCCGATTCATCTAGTTCGATTCCGCAAAAGATGCCATCAGCGAGGTGTGTACGCCCGCAGTAGAGGACGGTGCCCTGTTTGATGCCCCCAATGTAGACACGCTGCCCCACATACAGTCCCTGGTGCGAGTCGACAGGCTGGTAGTGTGTGATCGCTCCCTGGGTGTCTGGCGGCCCCGCCACCTTGGAAGAGGGACCGGGTGCTGTTCCGAAAGTCTTTGGACCCGGCAGGTTTGATTTCCTCCTCCTGGGACTTCCCTCCAATCCAGACTGGTGTGCCTGCATGTACAAAATCAAAAGGCAAACTTTACACATATTGTACTGTTAGTCTGAATAAGGTCACAAGTTTGCTAACTGGTTTGTCTGTAAGTACAAGGTCAAGAGGTCAAACTTGTAGGTACAAGGTCAAAAGGTCACATACCAGTACACAAGTCCACTTAGTATTTCTTTAAGTACAATAAAACATTTACAATAAATAATGACACGTGTTTAGCGGACTTGATATTTTCTTACATTTCCATTTCTTTTTAAAGTGTATGCATTTGATTTTGATAACAACGAAACTTTTTCTATATTTTGAAACTTTTCACACATAACATTATTTTGTCGATTACAAGTTATCATTAGTACATTTACACAAATGTACTCAAAATATAAACGAGAACAAAAATAGAAGATGTCAAACCAATAAGATTCAAATTTCATGAAATTGTTTGAGTGTACATTATATAAACAGCACAGATGCACCTACATATACAAGTCCTAGTCAAAAAACTGGAGCAGAGCTGACAGACATCAAGTCGACACAAGTCATTACTTAGCTCAACACAAACTGGCAAATGTACAAACTGCCAAACACTTCACAGAATCTTTTTTTGCATTTGAAACATTTTTATTATTGTGACTCATGATCATGATAAATATAACTGACTTGTCTTCCCTCTGATATAAACAATTAAACTCCAACATGAAGCTGCCGCTAACTTAGTCATCTTGTTACTTAACTTCTCTCTTAAATCATCTGGAGGATATTTTATGTTTAATAAGACCAGTGAGAAATACCTTAACATAATATTATCACATAACGACTTTTCACAAATTGAATTGCTACAGAACTTCAAAATAGGACTGCATGAAGATGTGCACACGCTGTAGATTTATGAGTAGATGAATCGACAGTGCAGTCAAGTGAAGTCCTACAACGGGAGACAGGCTAGAGACAACACTAGCCTTGATCACAGGCACAAGTATTGATTAACGGCACCTAGAACTGGATATTTATGGGCAGGTCCAGGAATTGGGTGTTAACATGTATTTTGGGTACTGTATGATGATCATTATGCTTTTACACAAAGAACACACAGGAGTTTAGATTCCTGACAATGTTCCAGGACAGTCACACCAGGATAGAGTCAACCTTTCCAACTTTACTGGCTGCTGACTCATTCTTGCCACAGCAAGTGTATCATATGATCATGAGTTCAAATGAAAATTCACATTTTTACGAATGTAAACTACTGTGACTGTATGCGTTTGTCTCTGTAACCCCAAATTGTAGCATTCAGTGACGCTGTTTGTTTCTGTAACCCCAAATTGTAGCATTCAGTGACACTGTTTGTCTCTGTAACCCCAATTTGTAACATTCAGTGACACTGTTTGTCTCTGTAACCCCAGATTGTAGCATTCAGTGACGCTGTTTGATGAAGATATCTGTGCCATGACAAGAAGTGATACTTGGCAAGAATTGGTCGACACAGTACAGTGAGATCAGAACAATTTCGAAATTGTTTAAAATTTACAATAACACCAGTATAATTTCTAAATTGTTTCAAATTGAGGGTAACACCAGTATAATTTCTAAATTGTTTCAAATTTACGATGACACCAGAATATATGTTGATATATGTTTCAGGTTTACGATGACACCAGAATACATGTTGATATATGTTTCAGGTTTACGATGACACCAGAATATATGTTGATATATGTTTCAGGTTTACAATGACACCAGAATACATGTTGTTATATGTTTCAGGTTTACAATGACACCAGAATACATGTTGATATATGTTTCAGGTTTACGATGACACCAGAATATATGTTGATATACGTTTCAGGTTTACAATGACACCAGAATATATGTTGATATATGTTTCAGGTTTACGATGACACCAGAATACATGTTGATATATGTTTCAGGTTCACAGTTCTGGGAGCAGCAGCCTACAATCCCGTTAGTCTATACGACACGTTAAGTGTTTCCATTAAATATTCATCAATGTATACTGTCGATGTCCATTAACTATCTGTATACTGTACAGGCTGATGTTCCGCGGGGATTAAACTCCTCGACATGAAATAGTCCACCATTTATCTGCAAAGCTCCAGGCAATCTCCGCAAAATTGGTCAGCGTGCCGGCACAGCATAAAACATCCCGGACAGAAAGTCTGCCCACCGATCACAAACTGATCAGCGTGCTGGCACAGCATAAAACATCCGCTACACAAAGTCTGCCCACCGATCACAAACTAGTCAGCGTGCTGGCACAGCATAAAACATCTGGGACAGAAAGTCGGCCCACCGGTCACAAACTGGTCAGCGGGCTGGCACAGCATAAAACATCTGGGACAGAAAGTCTGCCCACCGATCACAAACTGATCAGCGTGCTGGCACAGCATAAAACATCCAAGACAGAAAGTCTGCCCATCGATCACAAACTGGTAAGCGTGCTGGCACAGCATAAAACATCCAGTACACAAAGTCTGCCCACCGATCCCAAACTGGTCAGCGTGCTGGCACAGCATAAAACACCCAGGACAGAAAGTCTGCCCATCGATCACAAACTGGTAAGCGTGCTGGCACAGCATAAAACATCCGCTACACAAAGTCTGCCCACCGATCACAAACTAGTCAGCGTGCTGGCACAGCATAAAACAACCCGGACAGAAAGTCTGCCCACCGATCACAAACTGGCCAGCGGGCTGGCACAGCATAAAACATCTGGGACAGAAAGTCGGCCCACCGGTCACAAACTGGTCAGCGGGCTGGCACAGCATAAAACATCTGGGACAGAAAGTCGGCCCACCGGTCACAAACTGGTCAGCGGGCTGGCACAGCATAAAACATCTGGGACAGAAAGTCTGCCCACCGATCACAAACTGATCAGCGTGCTGGCACAGCATAAAACATCCAAGACAGAAAGTCTGCCCATCGATCACAAACTGGTCAGCGTGCTCGCACAGCATAAAACATCCAGGACAGAAAGTCTGCCCATCGATCACAAACTGGTCAGCGTGCTGGCACAGCATAAACCATCCAGTACACAAAGTCTGCCCACCGATCACTAACTGGTCAGCGTGCTGGCACAGCATAAAACATCCAAGACAGAAAGTCTGCCCATCGATCACAAACTGGTAAGCGTGCTGGCACAGCATAAAACATCCAGGACAGAAAGTCTGCCCACCGATCACAAAGGTTTGAGACAGAATAGTGTGGACATTGACAAATACATTTGTTCTGTGCACAAATCAAACAGGCTTCAGACAGAATTTATCATGCACAGCCCAGAAAGGTTTACGCTGGAAGACTCTGTGCACATACGAGTGAACAAACGTTGAAAAGAGTTAGGATAGAACTCTCTCTCTATAGCCCTGATGATATGGGATGGAATTATGCTCACAGTACTGAATGTCTCAAAAAGGTTAAAGACACAGCTCCGGACATTGTCCATACATATATAATTATATAACAGTTATTTTTGTAAAGAATAACAGTTAATCACACCTTAGGAATAATTTACAACAGGACCACTGAAGAGGTTAACTGACTTATCGTGCTGGTCTGTGGAAATCTGATAAATGGCATCAGTGGCAACTTCTATTAACATAGCTTTATCTACCATTACAGAGTCTACTTACTGTTCAGTTTCATTTAATATCTACCATTACAGAGTCTACTTACTGTTCAGTTTCATTTAATATCTACCATTACAGAGTCTACTTACTGTTCAGTTTCATTTTTGTAAGTTTTGTGTCCCTTCATTATCATTGTTGCCAGGCCCCGTATGACTTCAGCATTTCTAGGCCGTTAAACAATAAACCGACAAACTAACTAAAGGACGTATTGTACAATGATTATTTTCTTTATTAAAGTACATGTATTGAAATGGATTTTCTGTATTCACTGTATCAGAGACATTATACATAAGCAAGGTTGCCACCAGAGACAGTGTCCATAGGAAAGGTTACCATCAGAGACAGTATCCATAGGAAAGGTTACCATCAGAGACAGTATCCATAGGAAAGGTTGCCATCAGAGACAGTATCCATAGGAAAGGTTGCCATCAGAGACAGTATCCATAGGAAAGGTTGCCATCAGAGACAGTATCCATAGGAAAGGTTGCCATCAGAGACAGTATCCATAGGAAAGGTTGCCATCAGAGACAGTATCCATAGGAAAGGTTGCCATCAGAGACAGTATCCATAGGAAAGGTTGCCATCAGAGACAGTATCCATAGGAAAGGTTGCCATCAGAGACAGTATCCATAGGAAAGGTTGCCATCAGAGACAGTATCCATAGGAAAGGTTGCCATCAGAGACAGTATCCATAGGAAAGGTTGCCATCAGAGACAGTATCCATAGGAAAGGTTGCCATCAGAGACAGTATCCATAGGAAAGGTTGCCATCAGAGACAGTATCCATAGTAAAGGTTGCCATCAGAGACAGTATCCATAGGAAAGGTTGCCATCAGAGACAGTATCCATAGGAAAGGTTGCCATCAGAGACAGTATCCATAGGAAAGGTTGCCATCAGAGACAGTATCCATAGGAAAGGTTGCCATCAGAGACAGTATCCATAGGAAAGGTTGCCATCAGAGACAGTATCCATAGGAAAGGTTGCCATCAGAGACAGTATCCATAGGAAAGGTTGCCATCAGAGACAGTATCCATAGGAAAGGTTGCCATCAGAGACAGTATCCATAGGAAAGGTTGCCATCAGAGACAGTATCCATAGGAAAGGTTGCCATCAGAGACAGTATCCATAGGAAAGGTTGCCATCAGAGACAGTATCCATAGGAAAGGTTGCCATCAGAGACAGTATCCATAGGAAAGGTTGCCATCAGAGACAGTATCCATAGGAAAGGTTGCCATCAGAGACAGTATCCATAGGAAAGGTTGCCATCAGAGACAGTATCCATAGGAAAGGTTGCCATCAGAGACAGTATCCATAGGAAAGGTTGCCATCAGAGACAGTATCCATAGGAAAGGTTGCCATCAGAGACAGTATCCATAGGAAAGGTTGCCATCAGAGACAGTATCCATAGGAAAGGTTGCCATCAGAGACAGTATCCATAGGAAAGGTTGCCATCAGAGACAGTATCCATAGGAAAGGTTGTCATCAGAGACAGTATCCATAGTAAAGGTTGTCATCACAGACAGCATCCATAGTAAAGGTTGTCATCAGAGACAGTATCCATAGGAAAGGTTGCCATCAGAGACAGTATCCATAGGAAATGTTGTCATCAGAGACAGTATCCATAGTAAAGGTTGTCATCACAGACAGTATCCATAGGAAAGGTTGCCATCAAAGACAGTATCCATAGGAAAGGTTGCCATCAAAGACAGTATCAAGACTGAACAGACGATACACATAAAATAGACAAACCCACAGATCTACACATTTCATATATATAATTACTTGTTCATTAATGTTTTTACCTGGCACTAGTTTGATGAGCAAAATATGAACCTATCCTGTATAAGTTGTTAACAACTGTGACCATCCGAGACATCTGTCTCATTAACTATACAACAGACTTCAACATACAGTCAGGAATTGATCTAGGCCATCTATTGATTTTTAATGCTGATATCTCAATAAACACTCATCATCGTATTCAGAACTAGTTCACCTGGACTGCTCATTATAGACGGCGGTTCAGTTGAGTAAATGTACCAGTGACATTTATATACACTTTCATCAATATTTGTCTATGTGATCTTGTTTTTATGACTTTTTCCCTGGAGAATAACAAATTGTGAAACCACCAATAACATATAGGTAAAGTTGTAGTCTTGTGAATGAATATTTATTTAAATAAATTTTTAATTCACAATAAAAACTATTCATTACCAAAATATCTTTTGAAGTCCACTTAGGTTTCAGGAGATATTTATTGGCATTAATTCACAAGGGGAGACAATCACAAATTGATATAATTATATCTCACAAGTTTTTGTCCTTACACAATTTTCTAAGCACAAACAGTATTCGTGTTTTTTTTTAAGAATTCTAACCCTTGTTGCTGACTGAACAGCTGCTAAATTAATTTTACACAAAAATTAAATTATTTACAGCATTCCTGAACATTTGATTGCAGTACTTTTGATAAGGGTTTTGTTCTAGCACAATCTAAACAGATCTAGGTTTGACTTGCTGAAACAGCAGCCGTATCATGATCATACTATGCCAGAAATCTATCGGCTGTGTTTGATGGAAATACAGGGATTATGGTATCGTTGCTGACTCAGTATGTACATAAATCAATTATATGTTATACCAATTCAGTCCAAAATCAATGAAAAGGGGGAACTTTTATGCTAAACGGTAAACAGACTCACAATTACCAATAGGTCTAGAACCACTTAATGGACATGAGAGTCCACTATCAAGACGTTTATGGTACTTCAGGTGCTTCTATTTGTAAGAAATTAATAAAAAAAAAAAAATGAAATCAGTGTGCAAGCCTATGATGGAAGGGTAAGGTGTACAAGGTTTCATTGATTGGTTTGATTTTATAGGACTTTTAATGTCCTATTAACAGCTAAGGTAATTTAAGGACTTGTCTCCTACGTGTAATGTATGTGTGCATACATGTTTTGTATGTGCCACCCTGCCATAGCACAGACCTAATGCCAACTTTAAAGTGCTACCTCACTGAAATACCACAAAATTGTAGATGTCTAGACAAACTGTCGTCTAGACATATCAGCCAGTGGACAAACAACCCGATTCTATTGTACTCCCACCCCCGCCCCTCAACACTCCTTGTATAATATAACACAAACACTGTCAATATATAAACGTTATTCATTATTACAGAACATTTTACTTGAGGAAAGGTTTTAATGTAAAATCTATAACAGACTTGCATGGATCTCCATCACTTAATTGGAGTCCACTACTAAGGAGTAGAAACCTGACCAGCTTCACGAGCCCTCCACATTCCAGAGCCCGTTAATTTATGATGTAACCATTTTTCATTGCTCGGGCTAATTAACATTGACATATAACGCTGCTTCATCACAGGACAGACAACACGCCTAATTTATTTACTACTTCACAATCCACTTAAACAGCACACAAGTGTCACCAATTGACATTAATACGCATTCCTTGTAACACACTAACAGTCAAATCACAAATTGATATAAATGGTATATCACATATCTTTGCTGAGTTCTCCGACAATCTAGAAGTACCTCCCCAATTTTTTTTTATTTATCTGAACACATTGTTCCACTGAGCTACGACTTGGAGACTGCGGTGAGCAGTGTTGGGATTTAGTGCACCAATCAAGAGTCAATAGATCGGCTTTATTGTCATTGATTTACCCACCTGTACAGGTAAAGGAAACAATGTTGTGTTTGTCTATCCTTTAAGCGATGGGGTATATGTTCATATACATACAATAACACCAATATGTAACATATCCCTTATTGTGCCAAGCGTTATTTACCTGGATTGATTTCTACACAAGTACACCTTAATTACAGGTGTGTTATGTTAATAACAGGTGAGTTATGTAACTACAACACCGGTCCCGTGTCCCGATTACTGAACTGAACCTCGAGTTACTTACCATGATAGTGTGGGGAGGCGTCTATAATATCCACTTATCAACACTTAGTAAACACAATCAATATCAGGATCACAAACACAGTATAGCGACACTCCTCGTATCTATAGGTAAGGGTATTGACACCAATCCCTTACTTCTCCCAAATCTCACAAAAACTATTTATATCATCCAAATGGAGAAGAAACTTGTAGATCTGTATATCCATTCCTGTCGATTTTGAACCAGCCACGTTATCTCGCATCAAATTCAAAATGTATGTCCTGCCTTCAGGCTGAACGGCTGTGTCTGTTGTAAGTGTTTTTTGTCGTCCTCGAGTTTTTACCGTTTGTAATGTTTTACCGCTGTGTACCTGGGCAGTAAGTGATCACGTATGTCCTCGTATGACATCATGCAGTTGCAAGCCTCTTGTTGACTCTGGTGTTATAGATGATACCACAACACACAGACACACCACACTATTGATTGAAGGGCTCGAATCAATACGAATAAAATATGAAGGAGCCTGTGCGATAGCGCGCGATCCAACACAACCACGGTAACTAGTCTCTGTACAGGCCGATCACCAATCACGGGCTAAAGAAGCAGATACTAGAAACAGCATCTCGCTGTGTACACGGCCTGCGCGCGCTGTCTATCGATTGTCGTCTAATTCAGTCTCTTACCGTTGTTGCGTGGGGTGTGAATGGGAGTTTGGCATTGGGGAACTTTGTACTTGAGCTGTACGTAGCATTGAAATGGAAATCGTGGCTGCATAATCAATGTCATGAGATTATAAATATTGTGTACAGAGAAACTAGGGATTCAAATTATAAAGATTGACAAGCAACAAGTAATGCCAACAAAATATCATTTTTCAATTCAAATAATGAACACAAATTTATGCTAATTTTTTCAAACTTGCCCGGGTTGGCCATGACTCATTATTTGGTCGGAGCATTTGATACGCTGGAAGGTCCCGGGCTATTTCTACAGTGTCTTGTATTAATTGCTGTACATGTTGTGATGGCCTTAAGTAAAAACATGTTCTGTCTTACTAATTAATGCTACATAGGTCTCCATGGAAACTAAGGTAAAGAGATATATATATACCTTCAGAGTCATCACTTCCTTTTTTCAATTAAGAACTTTTTTTCTATTTTCACACAGCATCATTGTTGAACTAATGACAACCAACACCTATAGGTCCAACAAGCCTGTATATGTTGAAACCACCCAACACCTATAGGCCCAACAGGCCTGTATATGTTGAAACCACCGAACGCCTATAGGCCCAATAGGCCTGTATATGGTGAAACCACCCAACACCTATAGGCACAACAGGCCTGTATATGTTGAAACCACCCAACACCTATAGGCCCAATAGGCCTGTATATGTTGAAACCACCCAACAGCTGAAGTTATATAACAGCATCATGACAACTATATAGATATAAAGTCAAGGTCAGAAGTTCAGTTTAGAGGTCATATGAGATGTATGGACTTATTACTAGTAATAATATAGGACATGACAAACAATCAACCATTGACCAATTAATGATAATTAGGCAGATTACGGAGGCCTTACCCAGAAATCATGTAAATCTGTCTCCCACTCGACATCCTCAGTGTCAGACACCAGCTCAACTTCCATACTGGTCAGCCTTCCGTCACGGGCCACAATCTCAAACTGACCACTGTCTTATCGTACTAGTCTTTTTGATTGGCTCCTACATATTGTCATTATTTCCACACCAACTATATATGGTACTGGTCGCTGTTCCACACAAAGTTTGGTATTTATGATTTTCTATTGACATGTTGAATTAATTTCTTTCCGTATGTTTTTTTCCTCAAAATTGATCCCTTCAGTATTATATACACTTGCCATTTCTTAAAAATAATCTGGTTCCTTGCTTACATTAAGGTCATATATGAACATTGGCCACTTCATTATATTGGTAGTTTCCAGAGGTCACTTCCATATATACTGTCCACTTTTCAGTACTTGTCACTTCCACATCATGTTCATATCTCAATATGCTGCACTGTCACTTTTAAAACCTGGTGATTTATCCTTCCGAAGTTGGTGATATTTATAGAGGAGAGCCTGTACTAGTAGTTGTATAGCCTAGTATATATACTACAGGTAACATATATCAGTCAGGTACATTGGCAGTACTCCCATCAAGGCCACATACTGTACATACTATACACCCCAAAGTACCACAGGATTAACACCGTTGCACCATCAGATTATATATACTGGTTGGTTCAGAGAGAACCTCTTTACACACTGGCAGTGTATCAGAAAACATTTCCTGTGTCCCCATAAGTCAGTACTAATACTAAGATAAAAGACCCAGTGTGTCCCCATACATCAGTATGATCAATACAAGTCCATGTGTCCCCATACATCGGTTAATCAACACAAATCCCTGTGTCCCCATACATCAGTATGATCAATACAAGTCCCTGTGTCCCCATACATCAGTTAATAAATACAAGGCCCTGTGTCCCCATACATCAGTATGATCAACACAAGTCCCTGTGTCCCCATACATCAGTATGATCAATACAAGACCCTGGGTCCCCATACATCAGTATGATCAATACAAGTCCATGTGTCCACATACATCAGTTAATCAACACAAGTCCCTGTGTTCCCATACATCAGTATGATCAATACAAGTCCCTGTGTCCCCATACATCAGTATGATCAACACAAGTCCCTGTGTCCTCAAACATCAGTTAATCAACACAAGTCCCTGTGTCCCCATACATCAGTATGATCAATACAAGTCCCTGTGTCCTCAACCATCAGTTAAACAATACCAGTCCGTGTCCTCATACATCAGTATGATCAACACAAGTCACTGTGTCCTCAAACATCAGTTACACGATACAAGTCCCTGTGTCCTCATACATCAGTTAAACAATACAAGTCCCTGTGTCCTCATACATCAGTATAATCAACACAAGTCCCTGTGTCCTCATACATCAGTTAATCAATACAAGTCCATGTGTCCTCATACATCAGTATAATCAACACAAGTCTCTGTGTCTTCATACATCAGTTAATCAACACAAGTCCATGTGTCCCCATACATCAGTATGACCAATACAAGTCCCTGTGTCCTCAAACATCAGTTAAACAATACAAGTCCCTGTGTCCTCATACATCAGTTAATCAATACAAGTCCATGTGTCCCCATACATCAGTATGATCAACACAAGTCCCTGTGTCCCCATACATCAGTATGATCAACACAAGACCCTGGGTCCCCATACATCAGTATGATCAACACAAGTGCCTGTGTCCCCATACATCAGTATGAACAACACAAGTCCCTGTGTCCCCATACATCAGTATGATCAACACAAGACCCTTGGTCCCCATACATCAGTATGATCAACACAAGTGCCTGTGTCCCCATACATCAGTATGATCAACACAAGACCCTTGGTCCTCAAACATCAGTTAAACAATACAAGTCCCTGTGTCCTCATACATCAGTATGATCAATACAAGGCCCTGTGTCCCCATACATCAGTATGAACAACACAAGTCCCTGTGTCCCCACACATCAGTATGATCAACACAAGACCCTTGGTCCTCAAACATCAGGTAAACAATACAAGTCCCTGTGTCCTCATAAATCAGTTAATCAATACAAGTCCCTGTGTCCTCATACATCAGCTAATCAATACAAGTCCTTGTGTCCTCATACATCAGTTAATCAATACAAGTCCCTGTGTCCCCCATACATCAGTTAATCAATACAAGTCCCTGTGTCCTCATATATCAGTTAATCAATACAAGTCCCTGTGTCCTCATACATCAGTATGATCAACACAAGTCCTGGTGTTCCCATACATCAGTATGATCAACACAAGACCCTGGGTCCCCATACATCAGTATGATCAACACAAGTCCTGGTGTTCCCATACATCAGTATGTTCAACACAAGACCCTGGGTCCCCATACATCAGTATGATTAACACAAGACTCTGGGTCCGCATACATCAGTATGATCAACACAAGTCCTGGTGTTCCAATACATCAGTATGATCAACACAAGACCCTTGGTCCCCATACATCAGTATTATCAACACAAGTGCCTGTGTCCCCATACATCAGTATGATCAACACAATTCCCTGTGTCCCCATACTGGGTGTGTGTCTGAGGTGTTGTCAATGTGTCATTTGATACATTAAGTCTCAGCGAGGTGCAAACACAGAAAACATTATCACTGTAATCTAATTTACAACAACACAGGACAATCTCTAGACATAATCTAATTATCAATGAGGTGACACATCGCAAACACCCTTTCAATTTAATTTACAACATAGCAAGACGATCTTTCAATATCACATTGTGTTGGTTTTTGAGATTCCACCAACATCTTGGTATGCTTTATTCTAGAAAGACCAAACAGGACATATTTGAATTTCCTAGTTTAGCAGTAAAATGGTTACTATAGAGAGCTCTGTATTAGATTAAGGTGTCATAGGAAAATTGGAACAAAATAAGCAGATTTTGCAGACAGAGAACAGATTTGATCAAATTAAGAAAACGTTTATCAAATTAGTGAACCGTTTGATCAAGTATAGTAAAATCATGCTAAAGTGCTAGTCTGGCGGACAAACACTTGTCTCTTTGATTATTGACCCTCGATGGATGACATTTCCATGTCATGACGACTGTTGCTAGGCAACCAGTGTCAGTAATATAATAAGCTTTCTATTGATTCAGATCATGTGACACTCTTGTCTTGGAGCAATGCAAACTCATGAACAGAGCTGATGTACAATACAATCCAGCAGCCAATTCCCCGAGAATGGTAATTGTTATCATTATACCTATAATGGAAAGTAAACAGGCCCGGTGTTTGATTTGTGCATACCCTGTAATGAGATATCACTTAGGCTGTTTAGAGACGTCACTTTATATTGCTCCGATCCTGATGCATTCAAACGATTAGCCTATATACCTTCTCTAAGGATAACACATAAAACTAGCTTAGAAACAGTTTCCTATCTCTTTTTCACACTTTGTAGGCTTGCCCATATAAAACTACAACAGTTTCATTATACGGTATGTAATTAAATGTTTCCCTATCCCCAATGATACACATATCAGTAGCAGCACCCCTCCAGTCAGATGTGTTAGTGTGATCAACATGTTGGCCTCTGTCAACCACTGATTAACTGAGAGACATAAATCACCACTTTTCTTTAATTCTATAGCCACCAAAGGGAGATAAGTCCTCATATTACAAGGCTTTTATTGGGTTGATTATGTTAAACTATCTTAATTTGTTATTCAATGTTTATCTCATTTTTCTCATCAGTTTGGACTCTTTCCTTCCATGTATCAGTTTTCACCCTGTGTCAGTCAACCAAGAATATATTTCTGTCTACAAAGATTGTGAGACATGCATCAGACTACTTCTGTCAATAATCAGTCAACAAAATAGGTTTTGGTATTTGGTAACCTTTAAAAATCTTGACCAAGTTTAATACAATGCTGTCTA